TTTCCTTCTCTGCATGGGCTAGGAGGGAATAGGCACATGGTACATACGGTGAGCACCGCATTCCCAGACAGGTCAACGCGAGACAGTGCGGGAGCAGAGCGTGGGTCTGGGGTTGGAGGAACTTACTAAAGCTGTTCCCTTTCCTTGTCTTAATATCCGGAAGTAAATGTCTTGCAGTTCATTAAGATCAAATTTGGCAATGTCAATTTCTAGCACTGGGCCTGATAATGTGTATCATATAAAAATGGATGCGTGTTTTAAACATGTTTTATGATGTCAGCTTTCACTCACTGGGGCTGAGGAGGAAACTATTGTAAGAACAAAGCTGGCTGGTTTCTTTCTGAGTCCACCTGGAGAGCAGCCTGCTGGTAGGGCTTCATTAGGTACCAAGTCTACAGAGAGACAGAAGATACGCTAGGTACCTGGGATCGCATTAGATAGGGAGGCTGGGGTGTTGACAATCAAGATTAGACCTTTGCAAATTTTTTTCTCTAAATATATTTTCTCCTCAGATTTTCAACATAATATGTGAAAAATGGAACCATATATTCTGGATTTTTTACAAGACATTTTGTGAGTCAAACCCAGCTTCAGATTGTCAGGTTACACTGCTTTATTTTGGCATCTGTTCTTTTACAAGGATGAGACAGATGGAATCTACAGTTATTTTGTGAATTTAGCTGAAGACATTACCACAGGCTGGGATTTTTAAATGCAAGGGCTCTGAGAATTTCTGAAATGGTTGTTTGAAGTAAATGAATTAATAAAAATTCCCTGCTGAATTTTATTTTTTAAGATGCTGTTGAAGGAGCCCTTGTAGGTACATTTTGTTTCAGTAAACCAATTATCAAATTTAAACAGGGAATCCTAATTCCCATGAATTTTAGTTATATTCAGTCTCTGTCTCTCTCTCATATGACTCATATCTAACGTTATCCTTCCTCTGTTTTCTCTTATGAAAAGTAGAATGGCCTGTTAATAAAATATCCTATATCCACAGCTATACTTTATATCACTTTAGGTGATTGCTTTAGGAGCAAACAGCAAAAACTAACTCTGGCTACAGCAGACAAAAAGACTTCACAGGAAGGGTTCTCAGGAACTCCCAGATACACCAGAGCTTCCAGAAGGAGAGGGACCAAGTACTGAAGGTTTAGCACTGAAAACCTAATGGGAACGAGCTCATAGACTTTCTACAAAATCCAGCGCTAGCAATGATTAGCTTCAGTTTGTCTTTATTTACATTTCGATGTCCTCATCGAATCTCTCTGGCATGCATTAGTGGGTTTTTAGGCCAATGGTTCAATACACATAAATTTTGATGAGGGACTAAATGGCTGGGGGAATTATTTTGAATTGAGCAACAGCAGCTAGTTGTCTTCTGTCAGCATCGTGGTTTTTACTAGATGGATCCACTCAACATTTGGCCTAGGCTATTCTGCTACATCTATTACAACCTTTTATTACTTTGCCCAACAGTTATATTTTCCATTGAACATAGTTTGGTGTGTGTGTGGCCAGAGGATACTTTTATTGTTTCTTTTTAATTTATGTTAAGTAAGACTTTAAACTCCAAATGATGATTGCAGTTAATTTTGACTTAATTTTCAACATAGAGTTACTTTAAATAGCTTGACCCACACACTCACTGCCATAAGGTGTGCAAATACATTGTTGGATAGTTTTCTCATTTCTTAATTGGTAAAATGGCCTTGATAGTGTGCATTTTGCAAAGGCATACTGAGAATTTTGTAGTAATATGCATACAGAGCTTGGCAGTAGGGACATATATTTGTTCCCAGTAAATGTTTTGATTTTAAACTGGTAAAACATGATTTTATTTACTTTAGAGTGAGATCGTATACATGGACTGAATTTATTGTCTGATGGAAAAAATATTGAAATAGTTAAACAGTTGACACATGAAGCCTAACTGGTCTCTTGGTACTTGATATCCCTAACTTTTTCTAGTAAATGTTATGACAGTGCTGAGTATGCACAAATAATTTGACCTCCCACAGGCTATTAAAAATGCTGAGGAAATGGAGGCCTGGATACACTTCAGGGACCCTACATTTAGTCTTGGAATCTCTTCCTCACACTTGATTTGAATATAATCTTGTTTTTCTTGAGGAACATACTCTTAGTGGGAATATGTTCTGAAAAACACATCACTGGGTGATTTGGTGATTGCGTGAACCCCATCGAGTAGATTTGGACAAACCTAGATGGTACAGCTCCGTTGCTAGATCTGATCTCTGTGTACAGTCAAGGTGCTGCCACCGGGTAAGCCGGCATCTGCTTCACTATCATCATTTTTGTGTAAGTAGAAAGTATTCTCTAAAGTAATGACAAAAAGCATAACAAATACACCAGCCAGAAACATAGTTTCATTAATACTGTTCATAATTGTGTGCGCTATGCTTTTGTACTACTGGCAGCAGAGGAGATTTGTTTATACCAGCAACCTGACACACTTGTTTGTTTTTTTGTTTTTGTTTTTTTCCTGGACCAGGAATTGAACTCACGACCTTGCGCTTGCCAGGCAGGTGCTGTGCCGCTGAGCTAAATCCCTAGCCCCTGACACACTTGAGTTATGCATTCACATGTCATGATGGGGTTAATGTCACTGCATGGTGGGACTGCGGCATTCGTGCAGTGTGTCGTGACCCAAGTGTTACGTGGTACATGACTGTATGGGAGAGTGCTGTCCTGGGAATTGAAGCGTTTTGTGTAGACTACTGAGACTTATTTTTAAGCTGTGATTTTCCAGGGTATGCTTCTCTCTTCTCCTTCCTTCACTTCTTCCCATCTGTACCCTCCACGCTGGGGGCAAGGGCTGCTTTTAAGAATCTAATCAGGTGGAAGCAGTGCAGGGCAGAAAGAGCGCAGGCATGGAGGAGGGGAAGTCCGAGTCCTTCACCTGCCCTCGGGTAGCTGTGGCCGACTTTTCCAGTCTTGCTCGCTCCATTACCAATGTGTGTAACAGAAAGACAACACATGATTGCTGTAATGAGAGTTGTTTGATGAGTTGAGGGATTTGTGCACCTACAAATTATCACGGTGGCTGTGGCTCGTTCCCCTTCAACACACGTTAGGTGTTACTATGGTTAAAACTGCCATATAAGAGGCCATACACTAAAGTATGTTTGTGTTTGAGTATAGTGTTTGTATAACATTTAACCTCATTTTTAGGCTCTTGAAAGGATTGGAACTATGTTATTTTTAACTTGCTGGACTGCAGTTTCCCTAGGACTGAGCCATTCATTGGTACTACTTTTTCAAAAATGTGTGTCTGACCCAAGGCCGGTTTAAGGTTTAACAAAGTTAGAGTGGGCAAGGCATGTGACGCTTGGTTAGCAATACCATGGCTTAGTGAGCATTGACTAGGATTTTTTGATGTCCTGCTCTTGACAAAAAAAATCTGTCAAGTGAAAATGGTTCTGTTTATGTAAATGTAGAGCAGCACGCCGGTTCTCAGGACGTATTTCCTGTCAGTATTCTGTGATGTTTGTGAAGTGCTGTCCAGTTGTGGAACAAGACATTTTATTACTCATTAGCATGTTCACCGCCAAGCATATTGTTCGTATGATTTGGTTTTATTATCTTAAAGTTGTTTTAGTCTCCAGTTTTCTGTGACTTTGGGTAAATTACCTCTCTCCAAGTCACAAGTCTAAAGAGTGGTAAAGAAGGAACACATTGTAGTGAAAACATTGTCAAGATGTGTAAATGAGTAAGGCCAGAAGTTTAAGCAGAAACCAGATTCGATTCTCATTTTCTTCAGTTGATATTAGTATACTTTTTATATAGTCAATGTATAATGATTTTTGATATATTTTTTTTCTTTTCTTTTTGACACAGGGTCTCGCTGTGCAATTTAGGCTGGCCTTGAGCTCACTTTGTAGCCCAGGCTGGTCTCGAACTTCCAACGATCCTCCTGCCTCAGCCTCCCGAGTGCTGGGATTACAGGCGTGCACCACAATGCCCCGCTGATTTTTGATATTTTATAGAAAGATTTCTGTTGACATTTTGTGTATCTGTACCGAAGAAGCACCCCTTGCTTTCTAAACCACAAAATAAAGGAGCTAGCCATGTACTGAGGGATTCTTTGAGATGTCATTTTAATCTAGGAACTTCTACTCTTTTGGAATTATTATTAAATGTATATGACTTCAGAATTCAGCAGCTTCATGTTCCTGGGACCAAGTACTGACATATACAATTTAAAGGAAGAAAGGTTTACTGTGGTTCACGGTTTTAGAAGTTTCAGTCCGTGGTTGGCTGGTTTTGAGGAGGGACTATTACAGAAGAGGGGCATAACAGAGGAAAGCTGTCTAGCTGGTGGTGTCCTGAAGCCGAGAGAGAGCAGGAGAGTGAGGGAGAGGAGAGGAGAAGGAAGAAATGGAAGGAAGTGGAGGGGAGAGAAGGGAAGAGCAGAGGAGGAGAAGGGAGAGGAGGGGAGAGAAAAGAGAAAGTCAGGCTGGGGACAGGAATGTACCCTGCCCTAGCTCCAGTGACCCACTTTCTCTAACCGTCTAACCAATCTCCACCTCTTAACCACACGTTCAGCTATGAGCTCCTCAACAGATTAAGCTGTCAGTGAGGTCAGCACCGCCAGGATCTGATCACTTCCCAGGAGTTCCGCCTCTGGACAGCAGCCTTTTGGGTGACATTTTTGATCCAAATTGTAACAACTTGACAGCACTAGAATTAGACTGTGCACAAACGTACTTTTCTGAAGAAAGCAACCCTGTCTTTCTATTTTTCAATCCTCTCCTTTTAACAGAAAACCACAGGGTAATAATACTGTGCTTTATTAATAATATACATTCAAATTGGAATTTTTTACCTTGTTTCTTTACCCATCCACCAGTACGTATTTTCCAAATGGAGCGACAGCTTTTTCTTGTTACTCAGATGTGTAGAATGGTGTCTTTAACGATAGTGCCGTGCGTTCTAGGACCTAACCCGCTGTGATTTCTGGCCCTTTTCTTTTGCAGTGTCTGTGTTTATGCTGAAAGTCCAGGTGAATGACATCATCAGCCGTCAGTACCTGAGTCAAGCGGTTGTGGAAGTGTTTGTGAACTACACGAAGACCAACTCCACGGTGACTAAGAGCAATGGCGCAGTGCTGATAAAAGTCCCCTACAAGTTAGGACTCAGCTTAACCATTGTTGCGTATAAAGATGGCTACGTGCTAACCCCACTGCCTTGGAGGACCGGGAGGATGCCCAGTAAGCGCCCCAGCAGAGTTCTGTGTTTGCTAAATGTAAATGACCCCCACAGTCTTTTAGGAATATCTCACTCTTGGGAGCTAGAGATGCGAATGCTTGAGAGAAATCCACCTGAGAAGGCTAGACGGAGGGTTTGTCTGGAGAAATCTAACTAACTCAGTCGTTTGGGCTGCTATAACAAAATGCCCAAAGCTGGATGACTTAAACACCACAGAGAATGGGTGACTTAAACTCCACTCATAGCTGCGGAGTCTGGAGGCCCAGGGGCAGAGGCTCAGTGTGTTTCAAGGGCCCGCTGTCTGATGTATAGGTGACACCTCCTCTCTGTTCCCCGTGAAGGAAGGGATGAAGGACTTGCTTTGGGCCTGTTTTTTTTTAAGTTTATTGGTACAATTTAGAGATATGTAATGACCACATTCATTACAGGGAATTTGTATCTGTACCTGCTGTATCTTCATTCCTCTTTTTTCCCCCATTACCATCTTTTCAAATTCCCTTCCCTTCCCTGTTCATAAAGCTTGATTTTCATTTTATCCTTCTTTTCTTATTTTTTTCTTTCCCTTTCTTCCTCCCTCCGCCCTATTTCCCTTTCTTTTTGAACAGTTTCTTCCTATTTCAAAATATTGATTGTACATGTTGTGTATTTGTGTGTATTTTTGAGACAGGGAATATGGTCTCACTATGCAGTTCAGGCTGGCCGTAAGCTCAGTTTGTAGCCCAGGCTGGTCTTGAACTTGCACCAATCTTCCTGCCTCAGCCTCCCGAGTGCTGGGATTATAGGCGTGCACCACCACTCTGGCTGATTGTACATTTATGTTCTTATTTACATTTTCAGTTTCTCATACCAGAGAGATAATGCAATATTTACACATGTGTGTCTGATTTATTTCACTTAGGATTATGGTCTCAAGGTCCATTCATTTAGGTATAAATGTCTCAATTTTATCTTTCTTTATGGCTGAGTAATACTCTATTATATTTAAAAAACACCTTTTTTATTCATTCATTGGTTAATGGGCATTTGGGTTGTTTCCAAGATTTAGCTATGACATACTGTGCTCTTGTAAACATGGGTGTGCATATATCACTGTGGTGTGATGCTTTTAATTCTTCTGGGAAGATACCCAGAAGGGGACTAGCTGGGTTGAATGGGACCTCTAATCCTAGTTTTTTGAGGAATCTCCAGCCTGATTTCCACAGTGGTTGCACCAGTCTACACTCCCTCCAACAGTGGAGAAGGGTTTCTTTTTCTCCACAGTCCCACAAGCATTTGTTATTGCTTGTTTTCTTGATAATTGCCATTCTTTCTATAGTGAGGTGGACTCTTACTGTTGTTTTAATTTGCATTTCTTGAATGACCAGTGAAGTTGTTTTTTAAGGGAACTAATTCCATTTATGCCCTCTGAGCCTAATTATCATCCACAAGCCCACCTCTTCATACTATCAACTAGGAGCTGAGGGTTTCAACATGAATTTTAGGGAGGGTTCACAAACATCGGGCAATACCAAGTATAAAGGCATTTTTTTTTTCTTTTGAAGAGGCTTGAATTAATTGGGAGCATGCGCCCTGCCCCACAGGAAGCTTGTCTGCTGCTGGCCTTGGAGGGACTGTGTCCCCAAAGGTTTAGGAAGAAGGGGTGGCCAGGTGACGTGGGGCCAGGTGATGCAGGACTGTCTCAGGAGATACTTGCCAGTAAGGCGGGTTCTGCAGAGTCTCGAGCACAGCGAGCACGTTCTGTGGGAGCCTGATGCCCTCAATGGGGTGGAACACAGCGAGGCTGCCATAGACTGCGAGAGCCTGGCTGGGAGCTGTGGCAGTGCTTCTGTTGGGCAGGGACAGCTGAGCGCTTCTGTCCCCTGCAAGCGAGAGGGACAGTGAGAAGGATGGGGGCACAAGGGACGTTTGGAAGAAAGCGCCGCAGGACTTGTGTGGCTGACTGGGTAACGGGAAGGCGGGACCACACAAGGCACTGAACTTATATGGGGAGGAGGGCACGTTAGCCATCCGTCTCTCTTTTTGTCAAAGGACAGACAAACTGAACACACTTAGTCATTTAAAAAAGATAGAAAAATAATTAAAGAAGAATTCAGATAACATGAGAAGAGAAAATAATAAAGATTAAAATATATTGGCATACTTTGGAAAATATAAAGATGAGATAGTTGACAAAATATTAGAAAAGCCTTCTGAATATATCTGGCTACTCTAAATAAACGTGAGGGAAATAAGGCAGGAAAAAGAATACGTAATAACTTTTGAGAATTGATAAAAGTGTTGTGTAACTGAATAATTTTCTCATCTGTAAATAACTGCTTTGATTCTGGATGACGCTGCAGCATTGTGTTCTAGATTCAAAAACCGATCATCCTCGTTGTCTAGGTACAAAAACCCAATGTAAATATTATTTTAAAAAGTATCCCAAATCTTTTACGAAAGTAATATACTCTTATTGCAGGACCTAACAAAGATAATACAAATCTAGATGCCCTCGCATGTGCTCCTTCACACACACAATAAAACACACACGCGCACACACGCTCCTATGGATTAACCTTACCTGTAATGAAATGCAACAATTCTAAAATGAGTGCAAAGAGTTTGCCACTATTCAAATATAACATCCAGTCAAGACCAGGTAGGATTTTTATTGATTGTAGGACTATGAGAATACCAGCTTAAACTCTTAAATTTAATATGTCATACTAATAAAACATTATATCTACCATCTTATATCAGTAGTTGTCTGTATTTATGCTTAATTAAGAAAAAAAATTTTTTTAAATTTTTTGTCTTTTTGAGACAGGGTCTCGCTGAGCCATTCAGGCTGGCCTTGAGCTCACTTTGTAGCCCAGGCTGGCCTCAAACATGCAATGATTGTCCTGCCTCAGCCTCCCAAGTGCTGGGATTACAGGTGTGTGCCACTGTGCCTGGCTTAGAAAAAATATTTTAAAAACAATGATAATAAGCCAGGTGAGGTGGTAATCTCAATACTTGGGAGGCTGAGGCAGGAGGATCATTGTGAGTTGAAGGCCAGCCTGGGCTACAGAGTGAGAAAAATGAAAACAAAAACAAAAATGAAAACAAAACAAAACAAAAACAAAAAACATGATAATGAAGACATCCCTAGCATACTAAGGGGCCGGGGATGTAGCTCAGTGCATAGTGCCTGCCTGGCAAGCACAAAGTCCTGAGTTCAATTCCCAGTACCAATAAATACATAAATAAATACCTAACACACTAAGGATCTCATGTACTCATGACTAACTATAAATTATATTAGAGGTGATTCTGCTAAAATAATCAAGTAAGCACAGATGTTCGTATTATTTTACATCGTAGCAGTTCTTCAAACACGAAAGGTATTCACGGAAAAAGGGAGGAAAAGTGGATCAAACAAGTATTTCCTGAAATGATTTTATCCTGGGAAACTGTAGCTCATCAGTCCTTTCTGTAGGTTCTGGGAACGGAACTGAGGTCCTCACACTCACTAAGCAAGCACTCCACTGCCGTGCTGCACTCTCAGCTCCGGATCGCAGTCTTAAAACTCTCGAATCAATGGAGTTTCAACAGTTACTGATGACAAAATTAGCGTTAGTACAGATCAGTGCATGTTCTTCTGTACCGGTAGTAATAACTTGTTAGGAAAATTAATGACAAGAAGTCCCTCTCAGAATGATAAGAACAGACAAAATACACTGAATGAAAGACAACTAAAATTACCAAGTATGACTAATATATCTAGAGAAAAACCAAATAAACTAAAATCCTGGGTATTTGGACAAATAAATTTTTCTTAGGAAACCAGGATATTGTAAAGATGTTAATTTTTGCCAGATTCATTTATAGACTTAATTCACTTAAAAAGAAAAAAAAGGGGCTGGGGATTTAGCTCAGCGGCACAGTGCCTGCCTGGCAAGTGCAAGGTTGTGAGTTCAATTCCTGGTACTGGAAAAAAGCTAAAAGAAAAAAGGAAAAAAAACTGGCAAAATTTTAATCCTTCAAGAATAAATGTATAAAGATACCTGGTAATCTTTTTTTTTTTTTAAAGGTTTACTAGAGCTAATTTGCCATTCCACACAACTAAAATATTAGGCAGGTACAGCTGCAGAAAAAGCAACTGAAGTTGGAAATATATTTGAAACCTTAAGGAATGATGTCTTTGATGTGCAAAGAATTCATACACATTAACAAGTGTGAAATCCTACTTGAATAAGGTACATGAACAGGAAGTTTTCAAAGAAAAGAAATATAAATGATGAGTAAGCATGGCAACATACTTTATCTTCCTAATAATCAAAGCTTTGTACACTGAAGAAATAATGCCTGTTAGATTTTTCGCCATAAGCAAGTTCTGAGACAGTGATTACTCTCAGTATTGACAAAGTGAGATGGATCAATGTTCTCACTCACTAGTCAGGGTGGTGAACATTGGCTCTGGGCTTGCAAAATTATTTGGGCAACTATTTTAAAGTATGTGTTTGCCAGGGGTGGTGGCGCACACGTAGAATGCCAGTACTTGGGAGGCTGAGGCAGCAGGATTGTTGTGAGTTTGAGGTCAGCCCGGGCTGCAAAATGAGCTCAAAGCCAGCCTGAACTGCATAGCGAGACCCTGTCTCAAAAAAGACAAAAAAAATGGGTTAAAAATTTCAGAATCTTAATAAACTTTAACTCATAGGAAAAACCAACAGAAAGTTACATTAAAATATTAATTACTGCCTCTGCGGCAGTTTTGAAACAGTCATCATTTTCTTATTTCTTGTTGTGTCTTCAACTTTTCCACCATGGATATTTATCCATTTTTAGTAAGAAAAAAGTGTTTAAATGTAAAACAATCTAAACTGTAAGTTCTAGTGATGTTCACAGCGATTCTCAGGTTTTATAGCCTCCTGCAGCTGTGGACGGCGTCCCCTTTAAGCTACTGCTGGCTAAAAACCACTCAAATGTGTAGTTCTCTGCTTATAATCATTGTGAGGTCTGAGCTCCAACCTAGCCACCCGCTCTCCAACTTAAGAAATCCATCAATCAGGCTAAATGTCAGTGTATTCTGAAATTGAAATTATGTTTTCATTTGGTAATTCTCTTTTCCTATGCAAGGATCAAAGAACGGTTCACTTCAGGTCCACCCATGAGTGTATACTTGTTCTGTGCTCCCCTCTTCTTGTACTTCCTTTAGAGATCTTTTAAGTCTCTCTAAAGGCATTGCTGGGCAAAGGCGTTTTCTCTTCTAAGAGGTTTCAGGATACTGTGTTATTTCTGTTCGTTTTGTGTGCTCCTGTGTCACAGAGGAGAGATACAAAATGAGAGTTTGTGTTTTGGGGACTCTTCAAAGTTATTCCCCTTTTGTATGATTGGTTAATTTGATTTGTTCTTCATAAAATGGTCTTTTGTGGAAGCTTCTTGACCCAGCTCTTGAAATAATTTAGCCATATTTCAGATGATCTGCTCATCCTCTCGGCTATTTTGAATGCTTACCTGTGCAGACCGCTCAGCTCCTCCTGCACTTCTGCTCGGGGCTGCTTTGGCCACTGTGCTGTGCTAAGTTTTCTCCTCTGCCCACTCCGAGTCGGTTTGGCAAAGCACCCTGTACGCAGAAGAGCATCTTACTTTACGAGGGAAGAGAACCTTGAGTCAGGGAGCCAAGAAAAACTTAAAAAAGTTTTTACAAACTAAATAACAAATAATAATTAAATAGAGAAAATAGCAGGGGATTATTTAAACACATACCTTGATGATTTATATCTGCAGCATTATAGAACATCATTAGTCACCCTGATAAAAACTAGTCTGTACAATAGAGGAGATGAATAAACTAAAATAGTGATGTCCAGTGATTCCTCCTGACTTTTTCTCCATCATATTTCATATTCATTCTTCGTTTTCAGTTGTTCTTTCCAACAAGCAATTTGCTTTTTTTTTTTTTTTAATTTTTAGGACTCGCTATAACAGAGCTTCACTTGTGCCAGACTTTCCCCTACATTAAATACTTTCATTGTGCTCTATTTCACAGTATATTCATCGGTTACACTTTCACTGTTCCCGCAAAGCCAAGCGAATATATGGCTGTTTGAAGACACTGTTTTGATTACTGGAAAATTAGCTGGTAAGTGCAATACTTCTTTCCTAATAAGGAAACAAAGTCATTATTATTTAAGTGAATCAATAATGCTTATAACTTGAAAAAAATCTAAATCGATCATTGATAATTAGCATTGACTTTCAATCAGTCTCAGTCAAACTTGTTACTATAAAACTCTAATATGTGTGTCTCGTGTAGTGGAAATCATTTTCTCATTCACTGTTCTAGCTTCCCAAATGGGAATATTTGAGTTTAGGAAATATTGGAAAGTGCTTCTGTATGTCGCTCTTCCTAAATTATGTCTCTCACTAGGGCTTCAGTGGTCAGTGAAGCAGAAGGAACAGAATTTATGTAACACAGACTTTTGAGGCTGTCTAATTGCAGGTTATGTCCATTCCTACCTTCTTGGAAATCTTTCTTCCTGTGTGGGAGAGGCCTGAGATTGGGCAGTTTTTGTATGTGCTAGGTAGACATGATGTTCCCTATTTGTATGTCTAGGGAGAAAGTTGCCAAACTTCACTTTGGGTACTGGTTCAAGCTATGTCCTCCAATTCAGCTGGACCAACCGTGAAGAGGAGTGTTTGATCCTTACCTTGCCTGCCTGCAGCCCTTAATTAGTGCTTAGGACAAACTCAGGCATTCTGTGACTCTTACATATTCTATAACACCTGTATCAATGACAGCAGTTTGGCTCGTTTGTTTCTGTGTTCTGTATTGGTGAAATGACTGGTAAGCGTAAAACTCTTAAGATAGAGTCCAGTAAGATAGTCATTGCATGACGTTTTCCTATCGCTGGAGCAAAATATCCGACATACACAACTTAAAGGAGGTAGGTTTATTCTGAGTCATGGTTTTCGAGGTTTCAGTCCACGGTTAGCTGGTGCCAAGGCAGAAACATCCTGCCAGAAGGGCCTGATGTAGAAAAGCCACTCAGTGTTTGGCAGCAAGGAAGCAGGGATGGGACAGAGCTAGAGAGTGAGAAAGAGGCTAGAGCCAGACACAGACCCAAAGTCACTGCCCAGGGACCACCTAGACGCATCTAGAGGTGTGCTTTCCTCCTCTCGCAGGCCATTCAGGTTGATGACCAAAGCTAACCATCTCCCACAGTCATGGAGAAACAACTGTTTATGACCGTTGGTTTTATTTTTAGAAGCTGTTTGTTTTTGCAGCTATTAAACAAGAACCCTTAATACTGTTATTTGAAAAAAACAAACAAACAAACAAAAAAAACAGAGTAGGAGGCTGAAGACCCGGTTACTCTTGAGAGGTCAGAGCGTTTGGCAGAATTTTGAGCCACTGATTTTGGCAGATGTGGAGCTGTATGTGAAAGGTTGGAAAGTAAATAGGAACTATGCACCTGACAGAAGGACTGCAGGTTATGTGCTAGGCCCTTATGAAATCAGCTTCTCCAGAGTTCCATGTTAGTGTTTTTTAAAATCATGTTGTTCTTGTTTTGTCATGTCCTTGTCCCTTCCTCGCTTCATCTAAATTGTAGTTTTATAAATTATAAATTTATTATACAGTATAAATCATAGTTGCTGCTGGTGTACATGAAATGGGCTACTGTGAACACGTCCTGTACCCAGTTTTTGCCACACACCAAGCAGTGAGGAGTGCATTTATCTGGGCAGTACTGGGCTGCCTAGCAGGTCCTCATGAGGACATCATGAGCCCTCGAGAATGTTCAGGGCACTTCTGGTTACTGTCCCCTTATTTCCTTAAGAAGTGGCCTGTGGCTGAGGGAAAAAAGAGTGGATGTTTCTGATGGCATTAAGTCTTTTTGTAGAAAATGTACATCTTCACTCTGGAACTCCCATTCTGTGTTTGATCAGGAAGGTGTTCATTTTGTACAGTGGCATGCTCCTACAAAGCAGGAGAAATTGGAAGCATTAGGAATATACAAACCTTTGAGAAACTCAGCTAGGTATTTTTCATAGAGTGTATGTTTTCTTTTATAAGAACTTTTTGTGGTCTACATAAATAATTTGCATACTTTAAAGTGTAAGTTATATGTAGTGTGTATATATACATTATATGTATATATTTGGGTGCTTTAAATTAGCTATTTGTTTTTCAGTTTTCTTTTGGCTTAACACACAAAAAAACTAGAAATTGATGTCTTACATTATTCTATTATTTATTATAAAGTAACTCTTTAAAAATTGATACTCTTTCATCCTAATAATTTAAATGATTTTTCTGCCTTTATGAGTGATCTTAATAAGATTCCAACCAAAAGATGATGTTTTTGATTATTTTTTAATTTTAAAGATTTACAAGTTGAACCTTGAGTTGTTACATAAAATCTAGTGGTTACAGATATATCTGTGTTGTCACTGATTAATGCTAGATAATCCGTTCAAAATTACTGAAGGGAGATGATATTCACAAATTGAGTACTTGACATTTGGAAAACCTTTAGTGCATAGTTAGCTCTCTGCTAGGGAAACCTATCTGCTTTGGTATGTGGTTGTCTATAGTCAAAGACAGTGTCTCGTGCAAGTTGCTGAAAATATGGTCTTAAGCAGCTGGAGCCCAAGGGAGACTTTTTCTTTTAAGATAGTAGGATCAACTTTAAACTTTGCAATCTAGTTTTTCTCTGCATTTTAAAATTTTTCCACTTTTTGAATGTTGGCTTGCTTTTCAAAGAGGATCTCAGTGTGGTCACAGGAGGGCTTTCCCGGAGTCAGACCTGCTCCCAGAAAATCCGACGGGGGTGGGACAAGCTTTCTGTCCAAGTGCACACAAAATTCACATCTCGTTAACTGGCTTGGGGAGAAGGCCCATTGTGGGACAAATTGGGCCAGGAGAAGAATGAGATGCTTTTGTTGGTTTCAGCCTATTCCGGCAGCCACCACTAGCTCAAGTTTTACAGAGAGGAAAGCCCAAGCAAACCATGCGGGTTATAAGTGCCCTAAAGTGAAACCCAAAAAACGTGAAGACATTCTGGGCAACAGGATCAAGCAGTTTTTACTGTAAAGGTGCTTTGTGTGATCTAAAGGAGGGGAGAGATTTCTCACTTAACCAGTTCTGGATTTAAAGTCATAATTATACAAGATGTTCATGGCTTTTAGCAATAATTACTTCCGCTTCTGTTAACGTAAAATGCCCTGACCAACGATGCTATGCAAATACATTTGTTGTTTGTGTTTGTTAATGAGGTTTCCTTTCTGCAGATGCCAAATCTCAACCAAGTGTTCAGTTTTCAAAAGCTTTAATTAAACTTCCTGAGAACCATCACATTAGCAACGTTACTGGCTATCTTACGGTTCTACAACAGTTTCTGAAAGTGAACAATTTTCAGTACACAACTGGAATTACTCTCAGTAAACCAGGTACTTAGTAACTTGTGCATAATATAACCATATTTGTAAGAAACTTTACTACATAAATCTTCTGTCAGATGCATTTTATTCAGGGATTTGACATTCATTTAAGATTTGGAACATACTTGTCAATTTTAAAACATAAATCTTCATAGCTATTAAATGTTTCTAAGCAATTCTCTTATCCACTGAAAGAATGGTTGCACGAAAGTCCTTGGCCCTGCATTATCTCAAATTAAAGAAAATCTCATTTTGTTTTAATTCATTAAATTTCATTTGATTCAAAACAAGTAAGCTAAGTATAGAAAATGGTTGCAATTATTATAATTGTTGCAAGTTAAAAATACACTTAAAATGGGAATTGGCTGTAAAGACGTTTATACAAACCTTTTCGTAGTTTCACTTCTTGTTCAGTCGCACCGACTGCTGAGCTGGGGGAACAGTGATTGCAGAGATATTGAAAAGAACCAAACATACAGACTGGAGTCAGCTATTGTAATTTTCCTTTTTATGCATATTAGCTACCCTTTCTGAGTTATATATCAGGAAATATTGGGAATATATATTTTCCAGAGTCAGTAGCTTTAATATCTTAGGCTGACATGATTGAAAATCGAAGAGAATGATGGGATTTTACACTTATTCCAGAAAACATACACCTTTTTTTTTTTTTTTTGGTCTTTTTTTTAGGTTTTGAAAACATTGAGTTGACCCCTCTTGCTGCGATATGTGTGAAAATATATTCGGGAGGAAAAGAATTAAAAGTGGATGGCTCCATCCAAGTGTCGCTTCCTCTTCTGCACACGAATGATGTAAGCGCAGGGGATCGCATCCCCGCCTGGACCTTCGACATGAGCACAGGTACGTTAGCGAGGTGGGAATCTTGTGAAGAATTCAAGGTTCCATCCTAGAATTTATTACTAACCAAAATGGACCTGATTTTGATTAATCCGAAATAGTTATAGACAGATATGATGCCAATACATTATGTCAGAAAGAGTGTTATTTATTCACATTTTCTTGTATTTTTTATGCTGCCAACATCTTGAGGCAGAACATTTTTAAAAAAATTTTTCCTGTTAAATTTTTGTTTTCAAAGGCAATGTGACTTTATCTAAAAGCCTGATTAAAGCAATTAAATAACGTAGACTGATTTCATGAAAAGAGAAACAGTATGTGATTAAGAGAATGGAAGTATGAAAACCACTTCAGTAGGAGGAGTTAGTTCTCATGTTCTGTAGCACCCTAGTTACTAGCATAACTATTGTCTGCAACAGTTTATAATATATTTCAAAAAAAGTAGAAAGGGGATCCAAAGATTGCTAACATACAGAAATGTTAAATATTTGAGATGAAAATGCAAATTACTTCGATTTAATCATTATACGTTGCGTACATGTATCAAATTATATTTTACCCTGAAATATATGCAAATATGTCAATTAAAAATAGCAAACTACTGTTTTACATGTTGTAAATAATTTATTACAACAATGAGTCAAAATACGAACATACACCAAACTTATAAATAGCTGTTTTTATTTGCACATAAAACTTTATGAAATACATAGGTTTTACTGAATTCTTTTCTCTGTGGAGGGCGATATTTTATTAAACTAGTTAGCAGCTTTTGCAGTTTAAAAGAATTCTAGTGAACTAAATCAACAGCACTAGAATAAAAACAATGTTAAATAAATTAATAATGCTATAAAATAAACACTATAGTATTTAATTAAAATCCCAGAACAGGTGATAAATAACTATCTGAGATGAACTAGAATTTCACTATTCACACACTTAGGAGATGTCTCAGTATGCACAATTTAATCAATTAGACAGAAATGATTTTTCCAAATGTGCCACATCCTTAGTTCATTTATAATGGTTTTATTTCTTCTGGCTATAACAAATCATTCAAATTGTTCTGTGTTGTGTACTATGTACTGTACTATAAATAATGATTTTCTATTTACCATACACTGTTCTATGACAATATATTGTGGTATTCATAGTTTTTGAAAAAGCCCTGCAAATATTATTTACATGACCATTAGCAAAGTCCTGTCAGCTCTAAAGATACATAATTATAACTGGTACATTTAATTTGCCTTCCTCTTTAGGTGCTTGGGTGAATTCAGGCCGAGGAGTGGTCAAAGAACAGGACAATCATTTAATTTGGACCTATGATGCACCGCATTTGGGTTACTGGGTAGCAGCTCCACTTCCAGGAACTAGAGGTACTTGAATAATGGAAAAATTTTAAAAATAAATACAGATATCATGCTGCAATTTATATCACCTGACCTATATTTCATTCTAGGCGTTGTCACTTCTTGGCCATATGAGGCTGGAAAAGACCCTTAATCTCAGCTTTTCTTTTTGATCAGTGCATGTTTGCATGCAGAGTACTGATGTTCATTTGGGGAAATTGCACATGCGTATGACACATCTTAACCATTTTTGATTCATTTTCTCACCCTCTCCCTTATCTGCCCCCATCCCCTTCCCTATTCCCAAAAAGATACCATTTCCTAGCATCTTTCCTTTGGGTTTCTTATGTAAGACAAATCATGTGCTATCTACCTTTCTGCATCTGACTTATTTCATGGCATTATGGTCTAAAGTTCCATCTATTTTCCTGCATATGCCATGGTTTCATTTTTCTTTACGGCTGGATAATATTACGTTGTGTATATACACTACATTTTCTTTATTTGTTTTTTAAAAATGTATATATGAACACACTAAGGCCCGTGAACTCTGAGGACCCTGATAGCTATAATATCTGATGGATCTGTGAAGAGTGACGTTTGTTCACGTGAGTGTTTACTTAGTGTATGAATCAGTCATTTTGTTTGTTGTTGCTGGGACTCAGTACCCAACACCCACAACCGAAAGGAGGAGAGGTTTATATTGTCTCGGAGTTTCAGGCCTTAGTCTGTGTGAAGGCAGGACGGCCTGGCAGAGGGGCCTCGCGGAGGAGGAGGAGCGGCTCACCTCCTGGCATCCAGGAAGCAGACAGGGTCCATGAGGGAGCTGGGAAGGGAGGTTGACCCTTGCAGGCTACACCCACAGCGACTCCCTCTTCTGGCCAGACCCACCTCCTAGCAGCAAGTCTGCTATAAGCCCCCATAATGCAGTCACCTTCTGAAGACATGCGGCTTTGGGGACCGCTTTAGATCTAAACCGTAATAGTGTACTTTTGTGGCAAGTGAATTCTGTCCAAATCAGTAAGGGGTTTTGGTTACAAGCGATAGAAGCAGAATTTGGGTAATTTATGCAAAGGTGAAAAGTGTACAGGGAGTTTACAGGTTCGTAGGGGAGGCTGATGAACTGGATGGAAAGAGGCGAGGATCGCTGCAGCTCCTGAGGCCGGTGAGAAGGCCGGCTTGGCTGTCTTTGGGGTGATGGCTGAACCTCGTCTTCTCTAGTCTTCCCATCGTCCTCTTCTTGCCCACTCTGGGGGCCCAGCGTCCGCTTGACCTGTCCTTGCATTGTGAGCACATCCCTGGGTCTGTGGGGTGGGAGGGTGGAAGGCTCTTGATTGTTTCCAGACTGCTTTGAAGAGAAGGTGGAAGGTAAACCCAGTGAAAACTGTTTGGGACGGAAGGGCGTGGGAGCCGGGGGCCAAAATCCAAGAACTATCTACCAGGGATGAGCCACCATATTCTAGGAGAAATGAAACTTCCTTTACTGACATTTGATAGCATCACGTTATTAAGATAATTTGAGCCTCAGGAAACCCTCATTGATTAAATTTCTCAAAAATTTCAAACACTGCCTTTTTTATCCATTGCATCTTAGTGAGTGGTGGTCCAGACCGACTGCGCCGCTCGCTGCCTGCTCCTACTTTGCGGGTCCTCTGCGTGTTTGCTGGTGTAAATGGAGCTCTCCTTCACTTCCCCTACCACCCGCCGTGCTTGCTCTCAGCGTTTCTTTGCTCATTGTCCTCCTCTTCATAGGCTTAGGTATTTACAGAATAAAAACAAAGCAAAACTTTTAGGGTCCATTTAGTGAGGATTTGGGGTTGAAAGTTAAGGTGGACATCATTCTCCCATCTTCAGTCATATGGCAGAGATGACGCTTTTGGTTTTCCAAGTATTTCCACTCCCAGCTGAGAGACCGCTGCTACCTGACTATTTCGTGCTGGTCAGTGACAGCCCCAGGGTGCGCCCGGATCCAGGATGTGGAAGATATTTTACATTCGTCTCTCTGCAGTATTCTGTGCTCTAACTTTAACTGTCTTTTATGTTGAAGACTCAGTTTTTGCCAAGAAAGTTTTTAAAAATCCAGTTGGATTTTCATCTTCATTTTAAATTTTAAACCATGCAATCAAATAAGGTTTTGTTCAAGGAAACCAACATTTAGAATCCTATTAGAAGAAATAGGAGACATTAGCCAATGCAATCAAGAAGGATAATTCTTTTTATTTCTCTTTGAAGTTAGTTCTTACAAGGTTATTTATTCAGAACCCAGAGGGCGGTTACCTTTGTTCTTTATAATGCAAAGTACCACATAGTTTTGCCAGCTGTCTGGCCTTATCCTGTTTTAGATTTGCAACTATAATGAAATATTCACAAAAAGCCACAATTAATATTTATTGATACTTCAGCTCAACTAAATCTAAGTTACTCCCTTTTAAATAAAAATAACTCAAGGAGCACTTGGGTTTTCTAGAGAAATATACTTCCACTAAAAATATACCTGAAATAACCAGTTTTCATAAGATGGTTTTATGAATTGCAAAAGCCAATATCATTTCCTAAAAGAGGTGGAAGTTCTGTTCTAGCTTATCTGTTGGGAAAGATTTCGTGTGGGCCCCAGTACTCAAACAGAACTGTGGGGCTCTCACTTAGCTTGAATGAGACACCTCCTAGCGATGCTTTAGAGCAGTCTATTCTGCAAACATATCCTGGCTGAAGCAACACGGCACTGCTAGAGGGATGGATAACTTGCAAGCAGCTCTGGCTTTGCTTGTAATTTATGGTGTGAGCTTGAAATAGGTATTCACCCATCTGAGTGTTAGGTTCTTTGTTTTTAACCTGGGGCTTGGCTTGGTATTCATCTGTTCAGGTTACCATAGCAAAGTACCAGAGGCTGGGTGGTGTAAAGAGCAGAAATTCTGTTTCCTCACAGTTTGGAAGCTGAAAGTCTTAGAGCAGGGTTGACGAGGCTACTCTTGGTGGTCTTCTTGCAGTGACCTGTGTGTGTTCAGTGTAGCTGTGGAATCCTTCTCTCCTCTTGCAATGACATCTTTCCTATTTGGTTAGGGCTTGACCCTCATGACTTCACACGTAACCTGTATCACCTCCTGTAGGCCCTGAAACTAACTCACTTGCACTGGGGTCTAGGACTTCAGCATATGAATTTCAGTGCAGTGTTGATTTGGCTGGGACAGATGGTGGAATAGATGGCTCAGAAGCATCACTATCACATGTCTAATTCAACAGATGTGATTATCCCTGAAAAGGGACAAATGAACTATTCTATTCATCACAGAATATTTCTGACACCAATGTATATGTGTTTGGGGTTGGGGAGGGGTCCCCCACACAAAAGATTTCTCCAGTAAAGACACATTGCCACAAATTCCCCTCAGAATATTCCCCCTCATTTATGCCATCATTCTTGGTGGTATGTCTTTACTATAAATAAAGTTTAAAAAAATTGAAACATACCCTGTACTTTTCAGGGACTCCTTCTATAGTCAGACTTTATTACAGTGCTTGGTCCTGCATGATATTCTGCAGATAGAATTAAGTTACTAGAGCTTTTTAAGAAATTTACCTAAAGAAATTTTATATTACACAGTGCTGTGCTTATTTGTCTATTACATATGGTACACACTGTATTATCAGTTACCAGCTATGAAAATAGCCAGTACCAGAGTACCTGTTGTACAACCTTAAGCTTTCATGCGGTAACAGTCTCAGAGAACACTAACTGAGTGCTTATCAAGGCCAAGCACTGTTCTGAGTGCCTCATGATTATTAGTTCATATAATCCCCAGTGGCCCATATGAGTTATATATGACTTTTTTATTGCTGCTCTCCAGAGAGTGGAGCTGAGATATGAAGACATGAAGCTGTCCCAAAACTCCAGAATCTATATGAATAACCACAGTGCCGCTTCCCCAAACCTATTAATATTACCATTGTTATGTCACTTCTATCAAATTAGGTGATGCAGAATATGAAGGATACACTTACAACCTGATGGTATTCCAGGCTCTCCCAGGGTCCTCGGTGCAGTTGGGATCTTAATTGTGGACATTTTCTCGAGGTAGAGATGGACAAAGAAATCAGTTGTCCCATCCTTCTCCTCCCAAATATGCATTAGAGTTTAACTGATAGTGACAAGTGGACTGTTATACACTACATCCTTTTCTGAGGAAGATGAAGGCTTAGTGATATGAAAGCAGATTACCTCGAGAAGAGTGGCCCAATAGCACCGCTGATCATCCTGTTGCACGGGCTAGCTTTTGTTGCGGTGAAGCCAACCATGATAGCAGGGGTGTGTGAATGTGTGTGTGCGCGCGCGCGTGCATCTGGTTGTGAAGACTGTCATAGTAGGAGGACAATGGGTCCCCTGTGCTCTTGCTGGGCTCGGTCTGCCTGAAATCATGGTGTCTCCATAACTGTATGACCCAGGCAGGTGGGGTGGCAGCTTCTAATCTTTCAAGTCTCAGAATTTTTGGATTCGCTCTATTCTTCACATCCCTTCTTGCTCTGGCAAATTCTTTTCGACTTTATCTTCAGCATTTCTCCTTTTTTCTAATGAAATGCAACTAGTAAAACTTGCTACCGGCAATCTATCTCAAAAATCCTTAACATAAAGGTCCAATTAGTTAGAAATATTTCTCCCAGTTGATCAAATATTTTGCCATGACAGTTTGGGCCATCGTTTTTCCTGCCTCTGGAAACGGTTTCCTCACTGCACGCTGCCTGATCCAGAAGCCAGTGTCACGTATTTTAGGTTTCTGGTACAGTAGCATCTCAGCATCCACGTAGTAATTTCTATCACACACAGCCATCAGAAACTATTAGGGAAGCGGAGGGGGATGGGAGGGGGTGAGAGGGAACATGGGATGGCGTCATCGGAGTATGTTATACGCATGTGTGAATGTGCCACAACCAGACCCATTTTCCTGTGTAATTAATATGCATGAATAAAGAACACATAAAAAGGCCACTGCTGGAGTGGCAAGCTGCCCTGCTATCTCAGTGGCTGACTGCAGCACGCACTGATTTGCTCTTCATGTTGCACAAGTGCTTTGAGTTGGCTGCTGTATTGTGCGCTTGGCTTGGTTCAGTCCAACTTATTTTCTCATTCCAGAACCCAAGGTGAAGGAATAGTGACTCTCTGGGGTGCCCTTTTCCCATACTACAGTGCCTTAGCAGGAGGATAGGGCCACACTTTGCAACCTCATTTACATTGCATTTGATCAGAGCAAGTCCTTTGATTAATCCCGAAGGGTAAGGAAGGCACACTTCATCCACAGGGAAGACTGCCCTGTGAGAGAAGCGAACAGAACTCTATACACGTAGGCTGCCTCATCCAGGATTTGACTTAGCCATTTGACCTAAAAGAGTATTTTCTCTTTTTCCCCCCTGTTTATATTGAACCTTGGAGGTTCAGGTATAAATGAAGATTCCAAGGACATAACCACCTACCACACAGTGTTTCTTACGGCCATATTGGGAGGAACAATCATCATTGTCATTGGATTTTTTGCTGTACTCCTTTGTTACTGCAGGTAAGAACACCATTAATCAATGTGTATAAATACAGAAAATACCAAATTATAGTGCCACTTCAGTACATTCCATGTATTGCAAAGTTTATTTGTAGAAATGAATGTAGTCTTTCAGATAGAAGACTACATTTTGATCAGAGATCAAAAGCATTATATCCTAACAGTAGCACTGCATAGGTGGTATGCATATTGTGGGGTTCATTTACAAAGCTAAGGCTGCTAGATCATAACTTTTGAATAAGTTTGTATTCTCTTCTATTGTAGGGATAAGTGTGGTGCTCCACCAAAAAGAGAAAGAAACATCACTAAACTTGAAGTCCTCAAAAGAGACCAGACAACTTCAACAACACACATTAATCACATTAGTTCGGTCAAAGTTGCATTAAAATCTGAGGATAAGTCACAGTTTTTCAATGCCCAAAACTCTTCATACAGTCCTCAAAAGAAGGAACCGGCGAAGGCAGAGACAGACGAAAGAGTTTCCATGGTGAAAACTCGGGATAATTTTAAAATCTACAATGAAGATGTTTCATTTCTATCAGCCAATCAAAATAGTTACCCAAGAAAACCAATACAGTCTTTGGAGTCCAGTATGGGGACCAAGCAACCTAAGCACATGAACAACAACCTGTCTTCATCATTAGGTGGCGCTCCCGAGGAAAAGCGTTATCTCACAGGGGGTGAGGAAGGGTATGGGTGCTCCCAGATTTCCGACCAGCTTATGCATATCTACAGCCAGCCCATTGCCATCCTGCAGACATCTGACCTTTTCTCCACTCCAGAGCAGTTACATGCTGCGAAGTCGGCTACCTTGCCAAGAAAGGGACAGTTAGTCTATGGCCAACTGATGGAACCAGTAAACAGAGAGAACTTTACACAGACATTGCCCAAAATGCCAATGCATTCTCACGCCCAGCCTCCAGATGCCAGAGAGGAGGACATCGTACTGGAAGGTCAGCAGAGTCTGCCGTCACAGACTTCAGACTGGAGCCGGTATTCCAACAGCTTGCTGGAATCCGTCTCTGTGCCTGGAACACTGAATGAAGCTGTTGTAATGACTCCGTTTTCCTCAGAACTTCAGGGGATTTCGGAACAGACCCTCCTGGAGCTGTCCAAAGGAAAGCCCTCCCCTCACCCCAGAGCTTGGTTTGTGTCTCTTGATGGCAAGCCAGTTGCGCAAGTGAGGCACTCCTTTATAGACCTGAAAAAGGGCAAGAGAACCCAGAGCAATGACACAAGTCTAGACTCGGGGGTGGATATGAATGAGCATCACTCGAGCAGGAAGCTTGAGAGGGAGAAAACGTTCATCAAAAGCATGCACCAGCCCAAGATCCTCTACTTAGAAGACTTAGACCTGAGCAGCAGCGAGAGTGGGACCACTGTCTGCTCGCCGGAGGACCCGGCTTTACGGCACATCTTGGATGGAGGGAGTGGCGTTATCATGGAGCACCCTGGGGAAGAGTCCCCAGGAAGAAAAAGCACTGTTGAAGATTTTGAAGCCAACACTTCCCCTACTAAGAAGAGGGGCAGACCACCACTAGCCAAAAGAGATAGCAAGACGAACATCTGGAAGAAACGAGAGGAACGTCCACTGATTCCCATCAATTAGCTCCAGGGGAGGTTGTGTTCCTGCCTCTTGAGCTGTGTGTTCTTGCTTCTTGTAAATTGCGGTATGGAGTTCTTCAGAAATTGAGACTGACCCATCTTATGGTCCCTGGACACATCTCAAGCAGAGTCAGCCACAGAATGGTAATTCAGTCATCAGAGAGGAAGATTCCAAGGAATGCTGTTTCTGACCTTTTCGTTTCTTTTTGAGTGATGAATTTGAAGTATTTAGTTTTCAAAATGTAAAGTAGTGTCGATGTTAGTTACCTGTTCGCCAATTTGGTACTGACTCTTGTAAGAGTAAGACAGTGAAACACGAACTCCCAAAGTTGCTCCCCCAGATGTTGCCTCTGCCTGGCCGACTACCCCGTGGAACACTTAGAAATGAAACTCTTCCCCAGGCATCATCCTTGTGAAATGTTACAGTTACATCCTCCTCTGCCTAGACTTAAAAACCAACTTGATACAGGTTTGGACTGGTTATCCTAGAGTTTAAAGACCAAACAACATTTTCTTTGTTTGAGCTAAATAGCATGTGTATTGTATCACCCCAAAAGTAAACTCTACACTCATATAAAGTGGGCAGGAAGCTTCTTGGTCATTAGATGGGGTTGTTTTTGAATGTAACGTCACAGAATAAATAAGGTATTGATTTGTTATAGAGAAATTTGACAAATGAATACTCTGTACTGGATTTTTATTTTTAATCTTTTTTCCTCCCCTCAAGGAGTAAGTGACCTTAGCTATGAAGGATTTTTTTTTTTAACCAATCCAAAAAAACAAAACAAAATAAGACAAAACTCATGCTATTGTAAGTTAAAAATCATTTTTTTTTTTTTTTTTTTTTTTGGTTTTTCTCTGGTACCGGGAACCGAACTCAAGACCTTGCGCTTGCCAGGCAGGCGCTTTTGCCGCTGAGCTAAATCCCCAGCCCCTAAAAATCATTTTGAAATACTCTGTTTCGGAAACCCTACCTTACTGACTGAAAGGGTATCAGACTTGACTTAAAAAATGATTTGAGAGTTGTTTGTGAACAGCAAAATGTTAATGAGATTCATGGAGATAAAGAAAACAAATGTTTCACCTTGATGAGCAGAAAAAGAAAAGCCATTTTTCTGAAGATCAGAAATATTTTCAGGACACTAAGTATACACAGATGTTTCCATTTTTGAAAGAAAGGACATTTTTTCAGGAAAAGGGTTTCAATTTCAGGAGAGATATAAATTTTTCTTTATATCACTTGTAGCTTTTGCAACGTTTCCTCCTTGGCTTTAGAAGTATTGTATAAAAATCTTTTTTTTATCATACACAGAATTCAGTGTGAACACATTCAATATTTGTTTTTAATTATATGTCTTCAACTCTGAAGTATCATTCATTGTCCTAAAAATAAAAGCTCTTGTTAATTAAAGTCAAGCCACCCTATTTTTCTTAAAAATTTCCATGAAGACATGTCTGAAACATCTTTACCTTCCCCTTAGTGGGAAAATAATGAAACTAAATTACTTTATCATCTTCTACTGTTCAGTACAGAAGCAGCATAGAAACTCGAGCAACCTAAACAAGTTGAAAGAACCAAAACAGCCGCATCAGCTTTAGTAACATTGTAGGTAGATGTACAATGGAAGAAAACATCTTTTTCCTTTGAGACATTAGACTTCAGCCAATATTTTCCTGTAACTACTTCTGAAACATCTAATTGGTCAGATAACTCTCCTACTTTCTGTATTATCCCAAAGAACTTAAAGAAAGGCATTTGCGTAATTTACTATCATTACCCTAATCCACAGAAGAGATAAACATTTTGGGTCAGTATGGAGTTGATTTTTTTTTTTTTTTTGAAATACTGTTAAGGTTTACATTTTAGAGGAGGCTTTTTGTTGGTCTTATACAGAAAGATTTATTAAAAGCAGCAGGAATAAAGACAATTTGGAAAAGGTTAAGGAGTTAAGTGCTCTATGGAAGTGCCTTTGATACGGACTTGCATTATTAGAAGGATACAATAACATCTTTCTTCAGTGTACATTTTCTCTCTTAGCCAAATTAAACAGATGTGCAGTTTTTATTAAATATGGACCTAGTGTTTCATGTTGGAACAAAGAATTTTGCATGTAAGGAACAGTTCTTTTTGTGTTTAATCCTTTTTGTAAATTCAGCACAGAGATAAACTGTTTATGTTGGAATGAAGTTAGAAACTATCTAGCAAAATGTTGCCCCTCCTCAATATTTTAAGTATGTACTCCCCACTTTTAAAAATGTTTCATCTCTCAGCTTGGAAATGAAATGCACGTATTGGTATATGAGCGTGTCTTCCAGACATGCAGCTTACTTTATTCATTCTTGTGCAAGGGAAAGACCTTACACACCCCAAGGGCTTTTCTAGAACTTCTTGTTTGGTTTCAGAAAAAAAAAGTTTAGTATTTCTCCCTCAACCTCTATTATTCCTACTTCTCTTTATCTTCATTCTCCTCCTTTGTCACTGCACTGTAGTTTGTGATTGGGAATTTTAGGCCATTTACCTTTTCTAAGGATCAAGAGTGTGACTTCTCATTTGTGAGTAGTTCACAAATTTTCTGTTAAAAAGCTGAAGCCATCTACTTTTTCTTAACCCAATGATAATAAACGAAAAATATTCACTACTTTCTTAAATTTTTAAATTGAAAATTAACAGTTTTTCTGCAAATATAAATCTAGATAATTTTGGTTACAAATTGTTCACATTTGTGGATCCTTTGTACATACTCTGGATATATCTTAAAGGCAAAATATCGCTCAGTTAACTGACTGATTCATTTACTAAAACACAGCTATATGTATTTTTGAATACATATGATCTTGAGACTTTGTAAAATCAATTTTTATGACTTTATGCAGTTTATGGAGATAATGCCCTTTTATAATACACAGTATACCATGAAGATCACAAATGTTGAAGAGTAAAAGGCCTTACTTTGGCAGTCACTTTCAGATCTCTTTCCATGTATCCAAATCCTCCAGTATCAATACATATTATAGGGTTTTATGGACCTGTGGGTTGAATAACGTCCCGCAAAACTTCCCACAAAGGCGAATCTCGAAGTTATACATTCATTTATAAGGTATGGGTTACTTGTTTCTCTATACACTGACATTGTAAAGGAATTTGATTTTATTAATTTGCATTTCAGATCTAGAGTTTACATTTTGCGCTCTTGTTTCTAAGTGTTTCTATCTTTTGTATTCTTCCTTCAGAGAAATCTCATATTTTAGTGTATTTATTGCCATTATTTCTGTATTTGCTGAAAACTGTAACAGTCTGAAGATTTGTAAAATGTTAAATACAGTTCATTAAAGGTAAGACATGTAAAAGTGGACTTGATGCATTGTTTGATTTTGGGTAGAATGCAAAAGTTGTCTGCATCAGTTGTCATTTAATCTAGTAAGCAGCTACTTACTTTCTTCTGATTAAATTGTGCCCAGTAAGATAAACCCTATGTTTATATAATGAACATTTTTTATATCATGGCTCCAAAGCACAGATTTTTACTATTAAAGGTGAGTCGAGATGTACTGTTTTCTATCCAACATATTAAAATTATAATTTTAATGTTTAGAATTCCTAAACACTAAAGTGAAAACTTGAAACGAAATCCCTCATTCCATTTTTAAAGTATTCTTTGGATTTTCCATCTAAGACTAAAAGACAACACAAAGGCTGCTCACGCTTAGAGCGTTACATCTCCAAGAGCCTCTGTTTAACCAATCGAAGAATATTTAAATTCAAGAAGTTTGTATTCAGGCGGTTTAGAGTAGGTTTTTTTCAACAAGGTCTTATATATTCCAGCCCAAGCCTGAACCTACTCACTGTGTAACCCAAGCTGGCCTTGAACTCACAGTGATCTTCCTGCTTCAGCCTCCTGAGTGCTGGCATTACATGCCTGGTTTAGAATAGTTTTGAAAATCATCCTGGCTGCCATGTTTTTAGATATTTTCTATCATTTTTTTATATTAATATGTTACTATAATTACCTTTGCTCTGTTCTAATGGGGTAGGACTGTGAATCCAATGCAAATACGGTAGCATAGACAGTATGATTCCTACTCTGGCACAGGGACAGAGACTTCACTTGGAGCCCTGAAAGTGCGCCCAGCCCGAGGCTGCCTTCATTCCAGGGCCTGGTCTCCATCTGGGAGGGCCCGGAAGTCTCAGAAATGCTCCATCTCCTGGAGGAGTTACGGGAGCCCGAACAGAACATATTTCCTAAATCTCAATCAGAAGCAAACTGCAAACAGGTGACACGTTCTTATCTCAAAAGGAAAAGAAATATGGTAAGAACAATAGGAAGTGTAAGAACTGCAGGGAAGGAAGTTGGATGGATGCGAGATATTTTATTTAGTTCATCAAAAGCAGTTCGCCTGCCAGCCATTAATAGTGTCAGATAAACAGACCCTTCCCTTGGATTACACATTGGAAATGTTAAACTACAGCACAGTATCACTTTGTGTAGACTCCATAAAAGTCACCTTTCAGCCACCTTTTTCTAGGTAGATGTTTTTATCAGGATCCACAGTGAGATCGCTTACGTCCCTGATAAGCTCTTTCTATATATGTGGGCTAATTACTCTGAGAAAACTGTGTTGGATTTGGGTTTTCCTTTTCCATCAAAGTAAAGATTATTCTCTTTCTTATCTTTTCCTTTTAATTTGAGCTTCAGTTTTATTGGGCCCATAAACTTCTGGCTACTGAATTCAGTTTTTTTTTTTTTTTTTTTTTTTTTTTTTTTTTTTCTGAATTATCTTGAGAATTTGATTCTAGAAAAATAGTCTAGAAATAAGTCACAATTTATAATGTTAAATACCAAAATGTTGATAATCACAAATGATGAAAAAACATCCTATACCTATGGAGAATTTCTTTCTTTTTTTTTTTTTTTTGGTTTTTCTCCGGTACCGGGAACTGAACTCACGACCTTGTGCTTGCCAAGCAGGCACTTTTGCCGCTGAGCTAAATCCCCAGCCCCCGAGAATTTCTTAAGAAAAAAATGAAAGCTGTTTTCTGTTTTGAAACAGCTGTGTTAAAGATTACAGTTTTTATTACCTGTGGTGTTTGGCAAAGATAATACTTTATCCGTTTTACTAGCTATCATATATTAACACCTTTCTAATTGTGAGAGACAGAAATACTACTACTTCTACTTCTACTTCTGAGAAGGCTCACATATTGAACAGTGAGTGTATGCTGCAAAACCTTCCTTGACTGAATGCTGTAATTCCTGATTTTCAAACTTAACACTTGCTCCACTTGTGAAAAGTATTTCGGGAGACACCAATTTCCCATGTGGGTTGGGTTTTTTTTTCCCTTCTGGTCAGATTAACTAGGAGTTTCATAATTTATATGTTGACTGGGTTAATCCTTGTAGACCTCATTAAAACGCTAGACTAACTGCAGACAGTCTGACTCAAAACAAATCAGGTAATTACATTCCCACGAGTCTCTGAGGTTATTATATGCAAACAACTTCATTAAAAATCTTAAATGATACACAGAAAAGCAGAATTGTGACTATTAAGCACTATGGAATAAATATCTCAGAGTAATTTTTATTTTATATACTTCCATTTTGATCCAGAAAATATTTTTGTTTTATGTAGAAAGTACTTGTTAAAAAATCAGTTTTAACTTCTAAAAGTTTAACTTCTAAACGATTTGTACCCATTAAAAAGAGAAGAGTTTGCTCATGTGTATGTATGTTTACAGGTGACTTTTCTCATTGTTACTATTTTTACCATTTAGAGTTTATTTCTGATTTTAAAAAATGAGTGCATCTCTATATTCCACAATT